TGCATATCACTTAATCTATTAACATCAGAAACTTTTTTTTAAACTGATGTTTTATTTTTATATTCATACAAATGCAGACATTTTACTCTTCAGTTGGGTACAATCCCTGTAAATTATCTCTGATTTTAATATCAAACATTTCTGTAAGTACTCACAGCAAATTACTTTTAGGAGTTGCACTTTTTGTGTTTCAATTTTTTTATAATGAGTAAAAAAGACTCCTAAAAATAAAATACAGGGACCAGAAAAATATATAAAAAGTTAAAATGCCGAAACATGAATATTTGCATCATTTAAAACATTTTTGGAACTAAAAGCACAGCCACACCACAGCGAAAGATGGTGAAAATAAAGGCTAAGTAAGGACTTTTATGGACACATTATATATTTGTAGCTAATAATTTCTTTTTTAAAACTCTATTTTACATTTTAATTCTACTCCCAAAACTTTCAGTAATAATGAACATTAATAAAATGTTTCATGAAGTATGGAGTACATAATATTGCAGTATTTTAAAATTTAATTATGTTTTTTAAAAACTTGATGATATATCAGATTTATTTTTCATGCAGTATATAATGCGCCAAACTACAAATACCATAAAAATCTTACATAGCAAGTAATTTTATTTTGCTTTCATATAAAATTTAACAGATACATTTCCCTTTTCACTTCACATGTGAAAGGGGAAATTATTGAGTCATCCAGAGAGTTCTCAAGTTTTTGATGATAAATACAAATGAAGCAGTACAAAAACAAGAAAAATTAATTGAATAATGTAGGCACCATTTTATTCTATGACATTTTACCACCTCCTTAGAAGGTGGAAAATTCACCTTAAAAAAAAAAAAAAAGTAATCAGGTTTATTTGTAAGGATGTTATCAAGGTGTTGTTTAATAGTCTCCATAGTCAAGAAGTCTAGGCTATTCAGAGGATTTTGAAAAGACCTGAAGGAATAAAAATCTCAGGAGGCAAGGTCTGGTGAATATCGGGGATGACAAAAAACACCTAGAAATACAAGTCTGACATTCACTGAAATGTGAGGCCAAGCAATGTCATAACAGGAGACAACACTTCAACCACCGGTCAGTTAGTGCTTTGCTCTAATTTTTTGCTTTTAAAACCACCATCTGGAAACAGTATTTTTCTAAATTTATTGCCTTATTTGGTGGCAAAAATTTATAATATGCAATTCCTCTGCAGACCTACCATGCACAAAGTTTTACTTTTCGAGTATGCAGTCGTCTCTCTCAATGCTACTGAAGAAAGCTCATTTTTATTACCCCATGATCTTTTCCTAGTAAGCTTACTATATAGTATTCACTTCTCATCATCAGTAATGAGCCACTTAAAAAAAGAAACTTTTTTATTTCATCTCAGCAAAGAATCACCACTTAAGAAAATTCCAAAATTTGAGCAATCTTATTTTGCTATGAAAGTATAGGGTATCTATATGTCATAGCAACTCACATATTCACTCTTCTTCAAATGATCATATACAGTACTTTCGGAATACTTATTCTATCAGAGAGTTCCTGAACTGTATAACATGGATTTTCAGAGATAGCTTCTTTAACTAGGTCCTTATTTACAGAGGATGGTCACCTAGAGTGGGTATTATCTTGAAGGCTGAAATTTAAATGCTTAAACTTCTCAAACCACCTTTGAACTGTGCCATCAAAAACAACACAAATTTTACAAGTAGACCGACTAGATTTTCTCCCATTTTTTAAAATAAAGAGCATAACAGTATGATGAAAATAAACATTTGAGTTCTTCATTCTAAGCACTGAAACAAAAAATGCCACAACACATGCTACAGTTATGCAATCTGAATAGAAAAGACCATATTTGCAATTCTGCTTCAATCAAAGTCACTCCTTGCCATCAGCAACAAAGTAATGAAGGAAAAAGTGCTTTATTTTTAAAAACTGCAAAACTTTCTGGATGGCCCAATACAAACACATCCAGATTTGAAGTGGATAAAAAATAATTTTTTTATTGTAATAATGTTACTAATTTTTCTTTTTTTGTTTGGTTGCTGAGAGTTTAGATCAATGTTTGACCGTGCAAGTTTTGATTAATTTTTTACTTCCTTGTACGAAGTGCAGGAAGTATTGTAATCTCAAAAAAATTTCAGGTATCTTGTTTCAATGGGAAATACTCATTTTGACCATTCCCAATCCACCTGGATTATTTTCTTGTGCGATGCCTATATGTGCGAACAGAATAAAGAACTCTTTTTTCAAATGAATTTTTTTGTGGCGTCTGTACGTATGTATATATCTCACATAACTAAAAAATGATTAGCTGTAGAATGCCTGAATTTTGTAAATGGGACTGCTATGACATCAAACTGTGCACCTCTTTTTTTTATTGTAATCAGCTGTACCAAACACACACACATATATATAATTACAAAACAATTCTTTTGAAAACCAAATATTCTATCCATATAACATATACCTGGATTCCTAGTGAAATGGGGCTTTGCTCGTTTAAAGTGTTTTGGTTTTAACATTTTAAAATTCTTTGTTGCATTTATTTGAAATTTATTAATTATGAATTTCAATTTTTGGTCTTTGTGAAATATTAGTTCTAAATTCCTTACTTTATGTCTTTAATTATATATATGTGATATTTCGGCATCAAAGTTCAGGCATGGTTTTTGCAGAGCGGTAAGGCTAATTTAAATGAAGAGGCAATTGATTTAGTTTTTAATGGTACATCTTTATTCCATAGCTTTTATTCAATTATCACTGTAGATCATTTATTCGTTACTAAATAAGAGTATTTAAACTTTAATGCATCATAACTTATTCTAACAAAGAGAGCAAGCGCAGCAACGTAGACCCTAAAGGCAAAGAGAGAGGAAAGCTTCTGATGCAAAATGGCGTGCATTTGTTATTTATGGTATTATTTACATAATAGGCTAGCAAATTCTAGAAGGTACTGGTCTAGGGGGAAGATCCTGAATTGCAGAAAGTTAATTAAAGGTTGCGTGTTCATGATAAGCAAAGCCATAGTATTTTTTTTATATTTTACATATATATATTTATAGATATATGTCATGCACAGATGAAGGAATCTGGTACTTTAATTTCTGGCCTCCGAAGACACTTTATTGCATAGCTGGAAGGATGAACGTATAAACCAAAAATTTCCAGATATGGCCGTTTCGAAATATTTTATTGCAGGATAATTCACATTGGATCATCTTTCTGTAGTAAGATATTTTTCATTACTTTCATTTCATTAAATATTGAATACAATAATTTCCATGGACACGGGTTTTCATACTTAGGCAAGTAAGCAGCAGCGTGGATGAGGAGCGTCTTGCCAGGGGAAAGCGTAAGTGAAAAAGGACATAGCAATTCAGATGAAGGAGTAAAAAGTTTTGGTTTACAATTATTTGATTGGGCAAGAGGTATCTGCATCAAGTGTTACGTACAGTTGGGCATGATTAATATGAATGACGCAGTTCAGACTTATAGTGCTATTTTTAAGATAGAGAGAGGAAGTCTCCAAATTAAATAAGAAATAAAAGCAGTTATAGCCAATTAAAATTAGAAATTTGCTTTCATATTTTATTGATATATATAAAACCACCCTATCAAGCAGCTTAAAAGTCCTTACCTGGTCTTTTCACAACTGCTGATAGTAGTCATACTCCCAGTTACAAAAGTGTTTTACACGTTTTGGCAATGTCAAATAAATTTAAAAAAAGCCAACAAATAATGAAATCTAACTTTTAATAGTTTCCTTATTTCTATACTTACATTTGGGAAAGTTTTACACTTGTTATGAAGAATTAAAATTGTAAGAAATTTGACTAAGGTAAAAATTAATTGGGATATTTAATTTCAAAATTTGCAGTTTTGAGGTCATTTTCAACATTTGTGAGGGATTGGTTAATTAAGTTACAATAATTCAAGGAAATAAGTTTAAACGAAGTGTAGCAAAAAGTATGTATAGTTTATTAGGAAGTACAAGTACATCATGTGGTGTGCACATCAGATTTTTTTAAACTAAAACTATGCAAGAAAACTAATTAGGCAAAAATTAAAATATTTAGAGACATAATAGGATGTACTAAGCTCTAATAAGTTAAGGCCGCAAACTTGATTTTGTGAAATTTGGAAGGGGGTATTTACAATAATTTTATAAGGATATTATAATTTTAAGAGAAAAATTAGAGTTGACGGTGTGAATTTTTCCATTCCTAATACAGCAAGGAACATTAACAACAGAAAATTTTCATCACTGTTTGATTCCAAAGTAACTGTTTTTGAGCATTTAAAAAATTTTCTGAAGTTTTAAAAGTAAATCCATCTATATGTTAAGATTAATTTGAAACTTGGAAACTGATGTTACATGAACAATTATATATGTTTAGCAATGATATAATCTTATTCATACATTGAAATACTGAATAAAATACGGAATTTTCTCCAACATTCATTGAAAAATTAAATTGACATAAATAACATCATTTCTGTTCCCTACTTATTTACAATATTTTTCAGTTATGCATAAAAAACTTCCAATAATTATTTCTCTAAAGATAAGGCCTTTTAATTTTCAACATTTCATGCTAATTCATCCATTTTACATGTATCAAGCTAAGAACTTTTACTCTATACTAGCAACTAATAAATAACAAAATGCTGTCGAAAATTGACATGGTGATTATCATTAACTGAAACATAAAAATCAGAATTCATATGGTTATTTAAGTCAGAACTCTAGAAGTTTTTAACAGCCCACCAATACTACAAATTACAACAAAAACAGCTTTTTTTCTTTAATTTAAATTCCTGTACAGAAACATTTGGCATGGACAAATGCTGATTCCTAAATTACAGGTTTCTAATAACCTTAAATGACAATAAAATTTAAATAGCTTTATTATTTAAATATTCTTTTACAGAAGTGTGATCAAATAAAATATTGAGAAAGTCAATTTAAATAAATGCTTAATTAAGGACAAAAATTTTCAAAGGCTAAAAAAGGTATAAAATTTTTATTATTTATATACAGCATGTTTTACATGCATGCTCTGTATTTATACAGAGCATTATTTTTCCAATAAAAATCTTTTAAACAATTTTTCTTCATGAATACTTTTAAATTTTGGAATAAAGTTGATATTTATCACTTCAGTGAAACCTTCTTTGAGTGTTGGTTCTTTGAACTTTGATCTATAAGAAAAAAGAAAAATACAAATGCACTTATATAGATTAAAATAAAAAACAATACTTTATAAGACTTTCAAAATCTCTACAAATAGATCTCAGATTAAAAGTTTGTTATAAAAAATTCTATTTTTCCCTAAAAAAAGAATGGAAGTTGTTTCTGCTTTGAGAAACACCTCTCCGAACAAATCTTGGCATACAAGTATAGAACTATATTTTGTTTTATCAATAAAATCAATAAAAGTCTTAAAATCTTTTTGAATTTTAAACTACAACTACCATGCAAATAAAAAGCAAGGGTTTTGCATTTCTCTTTTCCAGATATACAAAGTTACACATCAAAATAAAAATTCAACTGATTACAAATGCATTCTAGTTAATTTATGAAAATGCTATTATCAGCTTTAAGAAAATTTGCTTTAAAATAATACAACAATCATATGGGAACTTGATCATCATTGGATAGTCATTTGGATCTCATAAATAAAAAGAGCATAGAACATATTCTTATTCACTATCAATATATGTATAAGAGAAAACAAAATGTAATCAAGAAGAGATCAACATCTCAAATAAGCAAAGATTAAAATTTCTGTGTATTTCTGAATATAAGCCGAAAGTGCAATTAAAAAAAAAAAAAAAAAAAAAAAAAAAAAAAAAAAAAACACCTCAAAATTCAGAATTTGTATGTAAGTTGAAATGAAACTAAAAATTTCTTGTAACGTTCAAATATGTTGGATATGAGAGTGAAACTGTTGCCAAGGCGATAAAATGGGTGGAATATTTTCCAATATCAAATCACTGTAAAATAAAACACAAAACGTTAATGATGAGTTTTAACTCTGGTAACCCTAATTGAAGCTAGCATTTTTTTTTTCATTCATTTGTTGTTTTGTATACATGATCTGAGATACTTCTGTAGCCTTATTTTCCTTATTTTCTGTGCCATTCTATTTTTTTGTCTGAAACATGAAAGAAAAGAGAAGGAAGAGAAATTCTTATACAGAAAATTTAAAACTACAAGTGATTGCATTTGCTGAAAATTCTAACAGTTTGGCTGCTCTGCATTTCTTTGCAAATGAAAAGTTTAAGAGTGAAAAAAAGAAATATCTTGAATTAGCAGAGATGTCAAAATCAAAAAAGCAGCATACGGTTATCAGCCTATGTTTTATGTCTTAGAGGAAGAACATCTTGCATGGCTTCAAGAATCGCAAACAAATGAAATATTACAGACCATTTATCTTTATATCCTTAATCAATTATTTTAATAAACTTTATAGTATAATATAATTCTTTGTAACTCATGCTGCTATCTAAATCACGACACTGAACATGATGAAGCAATCTAAACTCTCTCAAAGCAAAAAGCAAGCCAGTGGATTTTGTTGCCTTACCTAGGATGATGTAATTGTTTAGTGAACAGGTACATTTTATGCATAACAGCTTGCAAAAAAAATTTTTCCCTTCAGAGCTAGAAGCAAAAGTTAAAGCCTATCAATGACATATAACAAAATTATGAAAATAATATGGGTTTGATTTATGTCAGATTGGTGATATGGATCAAACTCCATGTCATTTGATTTGTCATCAAATTATATTGTTGACACTAAAGGTTCTAAGATGATTTCCATGAAGGTAAATGGGGGGGGGATTATGGCAATTGTGCACTGCATAGCAGATATAACCCCTTAACCTCCTATAATTATTTTCAAAACAGAGCCATAATAAAAAGGGGAAATTACAAAAAAAGTACATTTAGTAATAGTTGCACAATGGATAAAAGATACATGATTTACTTCTGAAGTGACAGTTTGAGCTTTTAAAAAGTGCTCCATCAGCTACTATATGGATGATAGAGAGGATGATTTTATACATAAAGAGGTCATAAATTCTAGTGTGGAGAGTACTAGAATGATGACAATATACATTCAGACATCCCAATGTAAAAGTGCATTTTATGAACTGTTCAGAAACTCAGATTCTGACATGGAATTTGAAAGGTGTGCATATATATATAAGTTCCACCCCCTCCATTCAGAACACCCAAAAAGTAAGTTAAAAGATTAATTTTCCTTTTCCATTGCAATTATTATGTGCTAATTATTTAAGGTATTCCATTATTATTGTACTGTAGATTTTGGCACTTTTTCTTTAGCTGAGCACAAATTTTGCTGACATCAGATTTTTAATTTAACGATGATTCTCAAAACCAGCAATATAAAAAACTTTGAAAATAAAACAGATGATTTCATTAATTTGTTTTTTTTCAAAAACTTAGGAAATATAAACTAAAAAAATAAAAAAGTTCTACATTTGGAGATATTTGCTGATTTATACTTTACACCCAGCTAATGAAAACTTACTTATATTTTTTTGCAAGTTTAGTAGATCCGCATATAAGCCGACCCCAGTAATTTAGGGAAAGTTAAAAAAATACAGGCTTTTACACAGAAATATATGGTATACACATGAAATAACGTATGCTGATTGTCACGAGCCTACCTGTAATAGCTTAAATTCAAAATCTACTTGTGGAAATTCATAAATTTTAATTAATTTTTTAACACACTATCTAAATATTAGATTATAAACCTAGTTCAGCCATTGGAGAATATTAGTTAAGTATTTAGCACTGAAGGTTTATTCATCAAGATTAAAAAAAGAAAAGTTTAAAAAATATATATAAAGAAATATCAAAATGAAAAAAGGCATCACTGTAACAACATTATGAAACAGATAATGATATTATCTACAACTATCCTCCCCCAAAAGTGCTGACAGTTATATGAAATAAATTTGTAAAAACATAATAATTGATCCTACATTTACAATCAGTAGAATGAATATTTAATTGTCATATGCTCAGAAAGCATTATTTAAATCAATATTTATTTCCCTCTTGTCTTTTCCTGTTCCATCTCAAATAGTTAGCAGTAATATCTTAATTGCCAAAATTATATATTTCAGAACATTTCTTATCTTTAAAATATTTTTCAGGTGTCCATTTTAACACTAGTATATTTATAGTAATTATATATTTTCTTCCACTTTTCAAAGGGTAGTGCAGAAATAGAAATCTTATGCAGCAAGTAACATACTGACTATCCAATGTGTAATGTAATACTGACTATGTTCATCTATCATATCCTATACTATACTTGTATTCATACTCAAAATTGATTTAAAACACACATTTCTGCATAAAAATTACAAATCCATTAAAATCCCCTTTTAGCTAAAATGCATTAATAAATTAAATTTGGTTTTTTAAATATTCAGCATGCTGTCCAGATGGGACAATGTTTGTAAATGTATAGTGTCTTTGCGGCATGGAAGAACTAAAAATATGTGGCGAGCCAAAAGACCTCTCGAGGTCTCACCACAATTATAACTCATGGGCTTCTTCTGATGTATCAGACAAATGAGATTAGCAACAGCAACAACTACAGATATTCAGCTTTTTCAGAAAAGCCTATATTTTATTTTCTAATTAAATTGAAGGATGATTGTAGGAGGATTAATTGTACAAAACTTCCATGATTATAGTGGTTAAGCAGAGTACTAGCAGAGCAATACACAAATGACACAGGATACTAAAAGTAAGAGCCACTGACTCAAAAGAATTTACGCTTTATTTAAACACAATGCTAAACATTTATTGCATAGTTAAAAATGAATAGGAAGTGATAGACAAAGCTTTACTTTGCTTTTTGATTACCATTTTCTTGGCAAATTTACTGATTATATACTATGATATGGGCAACTGTACTGAAACATAAGTTAATACAATAATTGTTCAACGCTTTTCTGTTATGCACCTGCCACACATTTTTTTAAAGTTTTTTAACTGTAAATAATTTCTCCTTATAAGAATAGTTTATAGACAACACACACATGGTACTTTTCTGTTCAGCACACACACACACACAATACTTTCCCATTATGCACACACATGCTAAAATGGCAGGTGCCAAACGGAAAAGTACCAGTTTTTCATAATACATTATTCTAATATTAATTCCAGTCGGAACTGCATATAATATCAGCAAGTCACTAAAGAAGAAACACGCTAAAATTGTGTATAGTGAAACCTCGATTCACAAATTAAATTTGTTCGGGAAGGCCATTTGTCACCTGAAATGCTTGTATATCAAAATAATTTTTCTCATAGGAATTAATGTAAAATGGATTAATTTGCTCATGGATCAGAGATGATCGTTTATTTAAATTTTACAACACTACTTTATGAAAGTCTGTAACCTCAGATCAATGGAAATGATTAAGTATAAAGCAAAAAAGTTAAATATAATACAATATTAAATAGAAATAAAATACAATATTAAAATATTACAATAATACAGTATTAAAGAGATTGTTAAGTTGCAAAATTCCCTTTCATATAAACATCAGGTTTGTCTTTTCTATTTCCTTTTTCCCCTCTAAGCACTACTCTACATGAGATTCACTCTGTTTTTCTCAAAATTTGTTCAATGTGATTTGTTGTTGCTTATGTTTTAAAATGTTACTAAAGTAAAACATGGCGTTGCCAATGTTAATACTAACACTGTAGTTTTATTAATTTATCAGGATGAAATATTTATGCAAAACTTTGCATCTTATTACTCCATTCTGCATAAATTTCGTGGATAAAAAAATATGGGTAATTTTTCTTCTTTCCTATTCGTTTGATGACATTTCTTTGCTATTGAGGCTGTGTTCTTACAAGTAAAGCTTATTTTTACGATCCTCTAGTAGCTTCTATATGCCTTTGCTGTTAACATCCTAATGCACAGTTCTGTACTAGAGAAACAATATTGCAGATTAAAAAAAAAGTTTCAAAGTGTTGAAAGTCTGTGCCTGCACCGCACCCAAATCTAGCCATAATTTTCTCCATGCTGGAGGAAATTATGGTGATCTGAGGCTTCTATGTAATTCTAATGCTATATAAAAATGGTTTTTATAACTGAAAATATTACGATTTTTAGCAATGAAAATTTTTAAATGAAAAAATAAATTGCAGGTTAGCAGTAAGAGAGCTCACTTTTCTATTGCTAACTAGCAATTTGTTTTTTCATTTTTATTTAATGAAGATCAGCATGTTATTTGTTAAGTTAATTGTTCAATATTTGTAAACTAACTAAGCATTAAATGAAATAATAAATATTTTATTTCTGATTACTCTCACACATCAATGTACTTTCTAAAAGAAGACCTAATTTTAATTTATAGATTCAAAATTAATGGATATTTATAAAAGGAAATTCTATCACTAAAACATACTTGTAACTGTTCAAAACCATATCATTAACTCCTGCATGCTTTTCATCAGGTCCCTGAAGTTCTCTGTACTATAAAAATTTTAAAGAATTTATAATAATACATACAGATATTAATAACAACAGTTAATAGCTATTATAATATAAGCAACTATAATGGTTGCAATTTGTAACTCTAAATTATACATACATATACACACACTTACACACATACAAAGTGCAATAATGTAACTTCCATAACATATATTTAAAAATACACATGTGCAACTGTAATTAAATGATATCGCTATTTCAAAAATACTCCTGTAGTGTAAGACTTAGATGCTGTTTTGACATCTGGAGATAGGCCTGGAGTCATTTATTGAAATGTTATTCAGAACTTGTCTCACAATTCTGTTAAACATTCAGTTTCATTAGAAAATCTTTATTCCACCAGCACAGCTTTTAACTTAAAACCAGAACTCATATAAAGAAAACCAAAACTAAACTAGATAAAAATCACAACTCATATAAAGTAACAGGATGTTCTAATTTAATAATTATTAATCTCACAATAAACAATAAATTATTTGTTAACCCTCTGACACGCGGTGGTCGCGCTTGAAACCACCAATTTTCGAATTTTTTTCTCCTCTTTTTTCCGAAATTTTTGAGTGAAAATCAATTGATTACTTATCTTTTACCTCTAAATAACACAAAATGACTGCAGAATCATACATGTTTTAGGTCTTGGTATTTTAAATTGGATGCCTTTTAAAATTTTTTTTCAATGAGACAACTTCCTTTTATTAATATAAACAACTTTAAATTTCAAAAGTTATTCATCACACATCATGATTTCTATCATAAACAATAAGAGATAGCAATAATTAAACTGCATATATAAAAAAACCTATCTATATGTATGAAATTTGCTTTGTGGTTTCAGGGCGCGACCTAGAGACTTGGTGGTCGCGCCTTGAAACCACTGCTCTTCACAATGGCGTTTGCTTAATTATCAAATAAGAATGTTTATTTTTACCCGGATATAGATAAGGGGTTTTGAAACCACAGTATTTTATTACTAAACAATACATGCACCTGCCCAGTAAAAAGGTCTTCTTTTCCAGAGACTTTTCTCTAACCTCAAAATACTTGCTCCTCAAGCTAGTATTGTGATTTTATATATTATTTCCTGCGGTTTAAATTTAATGTAAATATACTTTGCTATAATTAAAAATAGAAATCGGGTAAAGTTTTATTTAAATTAAAAATATTTTCTGAATATTTTGGGACGAAATACGAATAAAATAAGTATGAATGGGAAACGAATGATTCATACCAAAGCCAAAAAGACCAAGCCCCCTCCCATTAGCAAAAAAAAAAAAACGCAAATTTTCATGTGGCCATATGAACAAGAAACTAAATAACGCTGGATATATATACCAGTGAAATTTAGATCCAGGCAGTGTACATTTTGTAGTACAAGGAAGAAACCTCATAGAAGAAGATACATGTGTGAAACGTACAATGTGGGTCTATGCATGTACCAAAAAGACAAAACATGCTTTGAACAGTGTCACAAAAAAATTTATTCTTTGAAATTTAAAAAAAAAAAAAAAAAAAAAAAAAACACTACAGTCTTTTTTTTTAATCCTTATTTTACTGAGTTTTTTTTAATCCATTTAGCCAAACATTCTTATTATGTAGGTACTTATATTTTTACTGCTATAGAAAAATTACATAAATGTTAATTTTTTAAAATTTTTCTGACGATTTACTTTATAAAATAATGTAAAAAAATATATATAAAGCAATTCTTACATAAATTTTTTTTAAATTCGTAAATTTCGTCATTTATTGGTAACGCGCATGGAGAAAGGTAAGTTTTTCCCCCTACTACCTCAGTAAGTTTCAAAAGTTAATCATCGCACATCATGATTTCGATCATAAACAATAAAAAATAGAAATAATTAAACTGTATATATAAAAAAGCCCTCTATATGTATGGCATTTGCTTTGTGGTTTCAGGGTGCGACTACTGCGCCACTAGAGCATTGTGTCACAATGGTGCGGTGGTTTCGCACTGCGACCACCACCCACAGAACAATGGGCAAGAGTAGATTTATTTAATTCATATATTATTTGTCTCTAGGATCGTAATATTCACTTTCTAGAGTTTCTAGTTAAAAAAATTATAAAAATAATATTGTGCACGTCAAAGGGTTAAATCGTCATGTATTTTGCATTCTATTAATTTTAATGCCTATCACTTCTAGTTTGGGTTAATCACATTTTAGGTCATCTGTCACATTTCCTTTGAATCCACTGTCACATATCTTTGAATCTCTTATGCTAGCCAAACATATTTTACTTTTCCAAGTACTTATTCATAATATATTACTCTCAACAGTTCTAATACATCAGCAATGCTTTTTATAATTTTCACATAAAATTTGATGTTAATATATTGTTCTAAACTTTGATTACTCATTTTTATTATGAAGTACATATCTTGATATCCATTACTTTTCTAATAATTTATACTAGCTTGAAATTTATGGACATATTAGTTCAGATATGTCCAAACATTTTAGTACTATAGCATGACAGATGACAGCATGCAGCCATTAGGCAAATTAAATTGCTGCTACTTGTGTACAGATGTTCTGTTCAAACAGCAATAAACTCAAAGACAGTAGACAAAGGAATGAAAAATCCCATGAAACATGTTATCATAAAGTACACTTAATTGGCAAAAATCATGAAAGTACTAATGCAAGGCGTGACATTCTAGCGAGAACAGAAAAAGTACAATTAAGTAAAAAAAAAAAAAAAAAAAAGACAATATGACAATATGTATACAACAAACACAGGAATTGTTCTAATGGTTGCAGACATAACCTAAAAAGTCCAAAATGACGAAAAACCAATTGTTGAACATTTACGGACACTGAGTGTGCTATGGATCCATGCCATAGCAACAATTATTAGCGCTATACAGTGCCAGTACTAGGCATTTTGGCACTCAGGGCAATCTCTCTTGTTCTTAAATGCTGCTGCCAGGTTCCCTCCTAAATTCTAAAGATTTTGCAGTCCCTAAAATTGCAGATTTTGCAGTAACTAAATTCTACTACCCATTGCTTTTCCTTAAATTCTAAAAAATTTTGTCAACCCTAAATTGTGCTCCTTGATGCTTAACTAAATTCTAAAATTTTTGCCATCCTAAATTATATTGCCCAGTGCAGCTGGGCCAGTTGCATTAGCTCTGGCACCAGCCCTGCTGTCCTGAGATACTCCGTTGTCTCAATTGATATTTGATAAATGAGTGATTTATTGTTTCCCAGAAAAAGTTCAATGATCTGAAGTCTATTGAGGATGGAGACCAAGCAATGGGTTCAACTGTTCCAGTTCAATCTCTGTGATAAATAGCATGGAAATGATTAGGCACTGCACTTGAAAAATGTTTTGCCCCACCATCATGCCCACACCCCTCTATACTGTAAAGATTATTCTGTAGCAAATCCTGGGGAATATGCTACAGAAAAACAAAGTATATTGTACATGAGTATTTTCCTGATTTTAACCAACTAAACATAATTTGCAATAGCAAATTCTATCGCAGTCGTTTTTGTTCTTGATGCTTACTAAAACCTTTCTCAGTCAGCTACAGCTATGGCCAACTATAGGTGATAGTCATACCTTCAAAATAAAAGCAACTGTATTGCCCGCTGAAAGTGAAATTCAGAACATTTTTCAGGCTGTCCACATGGACATTTTAGAGCATGTAAATAACAGTTTATTTTATCTGTATACACAATAAGTTTTTCCAAACTAAATTAATGATGTCATACGACTCCGATTTTTTACCCTCTATCTTTCATAGTTTTTGAGATAGGATTGCTAATGTCTGAATATCACTGGTAGGAGATTAATGCAACTAGTCTTATTTTGTATGGCATGATCTGTTACTACAGCTAGACATAACCTTCATAGCTGTAGCTGATTCTGTTCACCACAGCTGTTTAGACACAAATAGAATTTTCTGTTTTTCATGCATGTATGTATATATACTTACCAAAATAATAAATATGGAAAAATATCTGGCATAAATGTAAAAGTAGGAAGAGCGGCCTACATAAGCAGATTTTGAAATGGTATGTGTATACAGAAACATCCACTGAATGACAGGGCAGTATTAAGCCTTAACCCTTTCTTAAGAGGTGTCCCATATATGAATTCTCTACTGGAGCATCTGCTCAAAAGTCTCTCACAGCTGGGGGTCTCACCCAAGCATTCCTGGAGAGCGAGCCTAAGGGACGGGTGATGAATTTGTGTATTTTAAGCTCAACCATTTTTTAATGATGACTAGATGGTGGCTTATGTCCATTACTTTTGAAATGAACACAGTTTTAGGATCCCGACTTTCAGTTTGATCATATTCTGCCTAACTTTGGTGTAAGCAGTGGTGTAGGAGGAAGGAAAGCATAATGTAAGCAAACAGAGTGATATAAACATTCATGTGTCTGATAATCTTCCAAACCTTTACAAAAATTTTTTTTTCCGCTACTATGTATGGTCTTTTAGGGTTACTATGTGGGGGTTCTGTTATGCTTCATGTTACTTTTATGGCTTATATTTCATTACTTCCCTTTTATTTTGGAAAGCCTTGACCAAAGTTTAGTATGGAGAGCAAGCGTTACTTATCAGAGGAAGGATATACATGGTAAATGAGCCAATTAGTGACATGAATGACAACGATAATTCATTTTTTAAAGAGTTAAACAGTGATATTTCTATTGATTCTGATATAAAAATTTTGTCAGAGACTGGAGTTCACTGCATGCTTGCCTTTGACTTTCCACGAAAGATTTTGTTACTTCTTCTTGTAAATAGTCTTTCTTGTATTTTTTATTAAAGTTCATTGATGTATGTGGTCAACAAACTTTAGAATAATTTGAATAGTCTTCCAAAAATTATTTCTCAAAGTAAGATATTTTTTTTTAAACCATGTAAAGTACAGGACAAAGATTAATAAATTATAATTTTAATGTTGATAGCTTATATAACATGCTAATTTTAATGTTGATAGCTTATATAACAATCTAAAGTGGAAAAAAAAATTATGACATTAGGACTCAAACTTTTTTTTTGCGGTTTATGTTTCCTTAAGTTAAACTTAGTAAAACAAAACCCCCCAATCATGTGGGATGATTACTTTGAACTCCCACCCAACCCGAGGGAACATCTTAAAGGTGTTCTGTCTTGAAAGGGTTAATTAAAAGCCCACTACTGGCTAAAATGTCATTTCTCATGCGGTGAATTTTGATCACCATGCATTGCTATATGAATGCGGAACGCATCAACATACTGTTTGTCTATGGTAAGAACAGCTCTCGCCAGTTTGTCTTCAGCTGTCTGTTGCCATAGAAATGAGCCCTGACCCATTTTTCGTAGGGGTGTCTTGAAGATTTACTTCTCAGTCTGCCACCTTGGTGCATTTAAAGGTAATTTGGCAATATTCACATTTTGTTTCAAGTAGAATGCTCATAGACCCTTTGCATCGACCCCAACATCCAATTTCCGAAAATGAAAATTCGATGGTATAGATAAAGATTTTGCAGTCAAGAAACGGTCTTTGATTTTACCGTGTGAGGTACAAGTCACTGAATTTTCCATCCCTCTAGACTTACAATGAGTAAAAATATATCAAAATAACTTGTAGGTAAATAAATTTAAAAATCCGTGCTTTTTTTTGAAGAAAAATTGTAATTTTTACATTTAAAAAAAGCATGCTATTATTTTGCTTCTTTTTTGTTTATTTGTTTGCTTGCAAAATCATAGATGACATCTTAGAAATCTACTTGATTGCTCCATTCTCTGTAATATAGTATAGAGGCACTTCATAAATATAAAATAAATTAAATTTTTACAGTTCTCCCCTCTAGCTAATCTACTGTGAACATTCAAAGCAATTTCTTCAGTCTTTAAATGACGTTCTGCTATGTTTTTATTAAAAAAATTTCTGTTAATTTATTGCTTGTGCTTTAATAATGACTAAAAATTTCTTCATTAAATGTATATGGAATCACCTAAAAGTAAAAGTGTTTATTTACATACCCATGCTTTCAATAAATACTTTTCGCAAACATTTCTTCTTTTCCCATACCTTCGAACTAAACTAAAAGCTGGTCAATTTAATGGCGAAAGGAAGAGAAGGGGAATTAAAATCAAAACTGCTTTTACCTTAATTACCAGTGGTTTAGGTTAGTTTATGTGATTATGGAAAGCCTCCAGGGTTAGATGCCTAAGAGGAGGGAGCCAGCATGGACAATAATCAATTTTTTTAACTCTGTGCGCCCAAAACCGTATCATGCTGCCAACATTTCTTAAAAGTTAAATTGTTGTCAATCCATGTTTCCTCGATGTAAACGATGTGGCGTTCACTTGTCCAAGTTAATTTCGCGTAAATAATTGTTCCTCCGAAATACAATGTGAGGTCTTTCGATAAGATTTTTTCTTTTATTAATGCATGTCTTCCAGCGAAAATTCATTGAAAGCAAAACTTTGCACAACAAGCCTTTTTGTCACGGAAAGTCTAGTTTTCGCCTCAAGACAGGCAGTAATTTCCGCATGGATGGCACTTTTCTTTGATGTAAAAGTCTTGTATTGTCTGTCGTATAACGCATTTGTCAAAATCGTCAATTTCGCACTTTTGTTTAGCACGGCTTTTACATTTCTTTCCAGGTGTATTTAGAAGTTTATTTTCACCCATTGTTGATGCTTTGCGCTTAATTATTTTAATTCTATATTCCGATACTCCAGTAGCTTGCGATGTGCTCTTCAAAACTTGAGGAAGAGAAACTACTAAAGAGTTCCCCGAAGCTTCAGAATTGAAAAAATGTGCGACATTGTACACGATTTGACGTGCCTGAAACTTTAAAGGTTAATCTTTCTTAAACTGGAAGGGCATTTTAAAAGACTGCGATTAACAAAGCACTACGAAAATCCAGCTAAATAGAAGCAAAGTTGAACAAATACCAGTACAAAAGATATAAACACGAGAATAAAAATAGCTAATAGTAATAATATAAGGCTTAAGAAAAGATGCGTACAGCTGGAATGAAACTGAGAAGACGAATGACAAACTCTTTTTCCATTCAGCCAACAGTCGCCAAAAACAAAATAACAATGAAGCAACCCTTGGTTTGTCCCTATTTGAAATATACTAGCACTCTTGCTATAGTGACTGCCACCTGCCAGACATCGTGGCGGGAGCTCTTCTTGCTGTAGACAGACAGTAAACTTTACGTATGCGGCTGAGGCTAAAACTGAACAGCTATTTAAAAGAGGAAGATAGAATGATTCCAGAAGACTTCTTTAGAGCAGATGCTCCAGTTTTTGGTCATAAGTCCACAGATAAAATGAAAGCTACTTAGCTCCACATTGATGTATTGGTGTATAACACTCAAAATCTACATGAGAAATAATGATTTATATAGCAGTATGCTTTTATTTACTGCTCAATAATGCCTTGCACCACCTCAATATGGAATTTTCACACACATACACATTCTAGTACAAAATCTGTTTACTTTGGTTCTTTTATGACATCATAATAAACATCATATACAAAATTATTATTTATGCAAAAATGAAGTGATTATAAACAAAACTAAGATGTCTCTATACAACAAGTCTATTTTGGTAATTTTTAACATAAATAGTGTTAAAGGATGCAGTTTTTAAGATTATTTAACTAAATTTAAAGTCTGATGATGAAACTATCAAAATGTTAATTACTTTAGTAACCCATTCAGTTGAATCACAGTTTAAAGACTGAAAAAACGTCAAAAACTAATAAATGGATATTTGATTTTGTACATATTTTTTTGCTATGGAAAGCACAGCTACAGAAAAATTCCTTCAAGATTTAAACAGCTTTCATGAAGGGAAAAGATAAATCTCAAAGAAATAAGTTTTTTTTTTCCTAAAAAAAAAAAAAAAAAAAAAAAAAAAAAAAAAAGTATATAATTTGGATTCCCCCCCCCCAAACTCATTATCAGTTATGGTCTTCTCCTGGATGATACTGTTGTGAATATTTGTAAATATTTTAATCCTTTTGGATTAAATTTTGGTTTTTCTGTATGTTTGCATTACTTCATTTATTTATTTATCTGTTGTTTTTAGAAGAGTAGTTTTATGGTTTATTTTTTGTTTAATCTGTGGCCACATGCCTTGTACTTAAGTGTTTATTTCTTGTATAGAATTATAGATCCTTTAATTTTGAGTGCAACAGCTTTGTACTTGTAAAAATAGCTCAGTTAGAAGACTAAGATATAAGCAGCTTTGTTCTTAATGGGACTTAGTGATATTTGGAGATTTCTTGCCAACCTCACAAGTTTTTGGAAGATTAAAATGAAAACATATTTTCAAAGTCCTATAACCAATTCTTCAAGAAGTTTTCACAGTCCATACTGCAAAGTATAAATATGGGTCAGATAGCTAGGAAGTTCAGTTGCAAATCAGCTGTGAGATTTAGCAGTTAGATGAATTATGAGTTAATGTTTATCTGTTGGTAATTTGACATATGATGATATATTTCATGTGTTAAGGAGGAATCGCTAAATATTAACATTATCCTTGAGTTCTTTCCAGCCATTATGTGTTATGTGTACTATTTGTTGCACTTATATATACTGACAATAAATTGCTAATTTCTTCCTCTTATCTGAATTCATTATTTAAAGGAATATCAATGATCCCATAGCTCACAACAATATTTAGAGAATCTCTGAAACTTATGTGGACTTCTGCAGTTGAATTTTCAAATTAGTATGGAAGATTTCTGTTGGTTGATGATATTTTCATTTCAAATTGCTAGTGTAACTATAATCATGTACAAATCAAAAGAATACGATGAAGCTTTTGATCAAGAAAATGTTGAGGATTTTGAACGTTGAAATCCTTCAAGTACATATAGTCTGTGATTCATGAAAATAAAATGCCCATGCTAAATGTCTGAACACCTGAATTTTAATTTTAAAAGCATATAGCATTATTATTAACTTAATACATTACTCAGTGATAAAAAATCCAGTTTGTTTAAAAGTACATGTACATACAAAATCCAACTTCAGCAAAATGATAAAATAACACAGTAGTTCTAAAATTATCAACAAAAAGTTTCAAGGAACAGCAAATGGTTAGGAACTAACACATATTAGAAAACAAACTGAACTTTTCTAATTGCAAGTGACCAATATGAAAAATGAGCATACCACATTGTTATGTCTAGCTTGCTCCAAAGAACATACAAAAAAGAAACATCTACAAGGAACTCCAAATTTTTTTGCAATCTCCATATACCTTGAAGGAAAGGGGAAAAAAAAAAAAAGTTCTTTTGATTCACAGAACTGGTCAAATACAATCAATTTAATTATTAATTCCATTAAAGCAACATGAAAAAGAAAAAAAAAATGAAGTAAAAAGAAATAACAGAACTTTAAAAAAACAAAACAAGTACCTGCTTCTGCTCTCTGGATCAGGATTTGTATTATCAATGACAACCTTCTGATGTTTAGACAGGGATTTAGAGCATTCAGATACACAGTTTTGCCATGATCCTAAGATATCCTGAATATAATTTTATGTGCTTTTAATATACAAATTGAAATTTTTTTTACTATTCATAAAAATTATTAATTTTATTTTATTCATGTTGCCTTTTCTACTTATATTTAGATTTTCGATACATAAAGAAAATTATTAAATTTATCTTGTACTCCATATTCAGACCTAGTGATTACTCCAGTGCAGCTTAGAAAAAACTAAATAATGGTGGCATCAGATACTTCTTTTGGAAAAAGACAAAATATTTACAGTTAAAGAAATCGTTGATGACTTATTAAATTGAGTAAAACTGTAATGTTAATTGATTACAAAAGAAATCAGAGAATTATACACAAAAGGCATTATTTCCTGTGGAATAAAATAATGCCCTATTTCTTTGAATCAAATTTGATCAAAAGATGAAGTTAAATTTTTATGTCTCACAACAGACTTTTTTTGGTGGGGCATCATTTTAAAAATTAACTGCGAAAGCAAATAAATACTTTATTCACTGATGAATACAGCTATAAAAAAGATATTAAAGATATTAATTTTTCATATTTAATTTTCTTTCTACATACAGAAATTTAATTTAAACTAGCAAATAAATATAGGATTGTCTAACCAAAACTGTGAATAATTTACATAGTATTAAAGCTATTTTAACACACAAAACTTTAATGTATGTGTTTACATTTAATGATAATGGAAGTAATTAAATAATTAATAGTTTCAAGCATTTTCACAATCATGTAACTATAAAGTGTAGCAGGGAAGTAATGATGCAGCATGCAATGCACAGGAAGTATTGCAGAGCATCTCATTATATTCATGCAGAAGATTAAATATCTTTTTGAACCTCAGAATGAGCATTTACTCTCTGCCATAGACATATGCATGTTAGGACATATTTTCTAAACATATTTTGTTGTGCCATGTAAAAACAATGTACCATCAAAGTATTGAACAAACATAATTTCTTTTTGTATGTTTATCTACTGTGCTACCTGATTGCTAGCAAAAAATAAAACATTAAATACAATTTTTGTAAATTTTCCGCCAATCTAGAACTTCTTTTCTTAGTTCTATATGTCAAATATTTTTTCTTAATCCTATATTTTATATGGCATATTTTATGTCTATATTATCACCAATACAATGGCTAGTGTGATGACGAATTGTTCCATTATTCTGTTCTTACTCTTCTGGCATAACTGGTAGTAAGTCCAAACTATCACTTGTTATTGCATAGGCAACTGCATGTGGTGTAGCTGCCCGTGCCCATTGCAGGTTTGTTTGGATGCATCTAATGTAATCAGTTTCAGATTTTGTTGTAAAAAAAAGTGCCTTTATTTGTCTATTCCAAAAAAGCTAAGCTTCATTGAGACCTTATGATGCTTTATTCCAGACCTGAACCAAGGTCCCATTTTTCACTCACCTTAAACTTTGTTGACTTTATTAAAGTGAACAAACAAAGGGGGGGGGCAAGGTTAAATTTTCACTACTGAATTTTTCTCGCCAAAAAAAAATTCTGTTTTCATTTTTCACCCAGGAGCCTTTTTAACATGAGTTTATATTGTTTAATAATAAATCCAGCCCTGAAAAAAGTTATCATTATTCAAAAAATCCTTTTCGCTTTCTATTTTCTTTCTTTGAGTGTTGTAAATGATAGTGTACCAAACAACCAAAATTTTCTTTTTCTGTTGTACCACCGGTTACTGCAATTTTTAGGGTCTTGAAATATACAGAAAATGGAATCCATCTCAGTTGCTTCCAAAAGATTAACATGTACACTCTTACAGTTTTAAATAAAAATTCAGAAATCAAATTTTGTTCTCAAGTTTCTTTTTCAATTTAATTGCTTTTTCTTGACAATATTCATATTTCATTTTATCATTTCCAAAATACCACCAGAAGTAATGATGGAATTATATTCTTTGGAAGATGCTACATTTTCCAGAACATCTGGCATTCTAAAGTTAGATTTACCCCAGATATATAATTTACAAGTCTTTGTCATAGACAGAGTTTACTTGTATAAGTATATTAGCATGTAATGTCAAATATTTTTGCAATATATGAAATGAATTATGGATGGAAACAATAATATATCTTACCCTGTTTATGTGAATATATCCTTTAGGTACCAAATATGTAAGAGCAAAATGAGTTTTTCCCGCTGTAATGAGAGTGAAATGAATAAGAATTCTCTCTCTCTATATATATCACACACATATATATATCAGGTTTAATAGAAGTTTCCTGCCACTTCAAATATTCTCTGTGCAAATAGTTTGTATTGGCGGGTTTAATCAGATTTTTTCAAATGATTTTTGGCATTTGAAAAAAAGATTTGCTTTAGAACATTGTGTTGTGAAATTTGTAAAAAAAATGCCGTTATTATTAAGTACAAGATGTCTAAAATGGAACTATCATGCTACCAGATTAGGATCATCATTTATTTCCAGTTCTGTTGCAAAAAGTCAGCTACAGAATGTCACCAAATCATGTGTGCAGCTTTAGGTACTAATGTTTTATTATATGACACTGTGAAGGTTTGGTACTGAAAGTTCAAAAACAAGGACTATGACATTCAAGAAGCAGAGCACTCTGGCCGGCCTACTGATGCTGAAGAGGCCCGCCTGCAAGAAGATCAGTATGCAACCATTTGAGAGCTTGCTAAGGAGTTAGATGTTGGTGCCATGTACACTGCTCAAAAAAAAAAAAAAAAAAAAAAAAAAAAAAAAAGGGACAGTGCTATATCTCCCGTTCTACTGGGCCGATTGACAAAATTCAAACTGCGTTTTTCATGTCTCGAAAGCGCGACTTAGGATATATATTAGATTTATATATAGCACTATTCTAACATAAATATTTTGACACGAAATCGGACTTTTTCTGAAATAACATACCAATTTTTTTCTATATTTCGATTCTACGACTCAAATTATGCCAGAATACCAAGTTTTGTAAAAATCGTTTGAGTAGATTTTAAAATATTAGCTCTCAAAATTTAAGCTCTTTAATGTTAATTGAATTTGGCAAATATTTATTAATATCTCTTTTTTCATTAAACTTTTTTGATTTTTTCTCTCACATTTCGAAATTTAGGTTCATTCCAAATAAAATTTACCCATTTTTTGTGTTTTATTTTTTAAATTTCTATTTTCAAATAATTTTTATAAATTTTTCGAAAAAATTTTGAATTATAAATAACATTTTTAACATCATTTTAAAGTAGGTGTGTTTTTAAGCATATCTGCAAAAAATTAAGACTTTTTTATTCAAAATTTTCTAAGATATACACAAATTTACATATTTTCGCATTTTGAAATTTGGCATCTTTTTTTTTTTTTTGAGCGATAATAACGCCAAACGTGGTCTATGGATTTTGTTACAGTGAATTGCCAGAGCTATTTTTAACCTTAAATTTTAAGTAAAATTTTAGGGAGAATTAATTATATGACATTTTTTCCCTCAATGATGTGTAATAAATATTTATTAATACTATATGAAAAGCTATTTTTTTTTAAATTATAGATGATATTATTCAAATTTTTAACAATTTTTTTAAAATTTCTCTCTATTTTCCTTTTTAAAAAAATAAGAGTAAATTTTTACCTATTTAAATTTTCTACGTGGGCTGATACTTCTTTTTTTACTACTTTAATTTGAATTGTCTAAAACTGAGAATTTTCGTTGATATTTTTGAATTTGAATATGACATTAACTTTCTTAATTTTCTAAACTTTTGCAAACTTTTGCTTTTGGGGGGGTGAAAGAGTGGCTGGGGGGGGGGGGGGGGGGGGGGGGGGGGGGGGGGGGGGGGGGAACATAAGATTTAGGGGAATCATTTCTATAAAAGTCAAAGATAAAATACAAGGGGGGGGGGGGGAATAATGGAAGTCTGTTATGGAAATGCAGCTACTTAATGGCAGGAATAAGTTGCAGGTTAAGAAAAGTTAATAAATGAACCCAACATTCTGAAATTCTGGATTCAAAAGGATACGATGTTTATTAAATGAATTTAAGAAGTTTTAAAACATAAAAAATCAACTCATTTTTTCTACTAAAATGTATTTTTGTGCGTAGCGTATTTTCATTACATCCTTAAAATTCTAATTTAGAATGTAATTGTCAAGAACTGAATCCTAATCATCAGTAATATAATAAGTAATTATTACGGTTATTAATAAATCCTTCTTATAAAGTAATTGCAAATATTTCAAAAAACTTTCTATCTGAATGCAAATATTTTTCTATGCAAATATTTTTAATCTTATATTAATCAAGATTGCACACGATATTATTTATTTACACTTCAATTCTTACCGTCAGCTGTAGTAGAAGTTATAAATCAATTATATTTAATTAAGGATTGGATTGGAGTGGATTATTTAATTATGGCAAAGCACACGAGAGCTATCTGCCTAAAGGGAGGGATGCCTTTGTGGAGGACTTTCTAAGGGAAACTGGCTCATACACATTACACATAGGGAAAACCACGAAAATGCCCATGCAACCAGCCCGTTTACCGGGATTCAAACCCCGGAGTGAACTACCAGTGTTCAGCGACTTTACCGCTTGGCCGTTTGTGGGCCTTTATGAAAGGGAAGGCGATAACTTTATTCAAAATGATTGTCAGAAATATCAAAATATTTCTAAAAGTTGTATGCTTTTTAATATACTTGCAGAATGCCTAAACAAAAAGACCAAGAATAAAGTAGAATGCCTGAAGAAAAAGAGAAGAAAAAATAAATTTTTGCGCAAAATTTAGTATTGGTATATTTTTTTTTTTTAAATTTAAAACCTTTTAATCTTATGATATTTGATTCTTGCGACTTCAGAAATAAAATATTTGTCTCAAATATGAATAACATTTTAAGAAACCAAATGTAGGATAACATTGTGTAAAGCAATGGGCACAATGATAAAACTGTTTAAAGCAGTGTATGCAAGTCATCCTAAGTTAAAATGTCGATTATACATCTCTCTTATTTATATATATCTTTTCTGAACAGAACATTGAAAGGCGTGTTAACTGTGCTTTACTGTATTTTCTCTTTTAATATATGCTAATTTTTAAATGCATCGTAGTCTGGGTTACAAAGTATTCTTCCGAAAGAAACGCAATTCAAATAAATAAAATAAAATTCTGGAAAATTTATATTAATAAATATATTTAAAATGCTCAGCTCGAAGGAATAAATAGAAAATTTTAAAACAATTATCTGAAGAAACAATGCAACACAAACAATTAAAATAAAAGTATAAAATTAGCTAAAATAATAACTATGAAAAAATATATATAAAGAAAACTATTTGATAAAAAAATAAACTCTGCACCTTTATTTACGCAGTTCGAATAGGTAAATAGAAATTTTTTAAAACAGTTATTCGGGGGGGGGGGGGGGGAAGCAACTTAAACAATTAAAATGAAATTTGAAAAAAGAAAAAAATTACTTAAAATAATAAGTTATAATTAAAATATAATATAAAGAATATTATTTGGAAAAAAGGAATGATTGGTGTCTTTTTTTCCTCTCAACCACAATGTAAAAAGGGAAAGGAAAACTAGGTTGCCATATATTAAGAAGTTTCGCCAAGTGCAAACTGAAAATTTCTTCTTGGCGCAAACTGGAAAAAAAATGTGCCAATATAAATTTTGTGAATTTCTCCGTAAATTTCGCTCCAAATTTTCCAAAATTTTCATATTTAGGCATAATTTGAGTCGTTTAGAATCGAAATATGAAAAAAATTGGTATGTATTTCAGAAAAAGTCCTGATTTTGTGTCAAAATGTCTGAATTGTTAGAATAGTGCTATATATAAATCTAATACATATATCCTTAAGTCGCGCATTTTCGAGACATGAAAGAACACAAATTTGAATTTTGTCAATCGGCCAGTGATAGAGCTTGGACTTAAGGATAACCCCATAGCACTGTCCCATTTTTTTTTTTTTGAGCAGTGTACATTAATCACGCTATGCACAGCTTAAAATTGAAGTAAAAATTCAATCACTGGGTGCCGCATAAGCTGATGCAAGCAGATAAGGACAGACATATTCGGGCCTGCACTAAACTGCTCGAATATCAATGAAAGGACATAATTCTGGACTGGATCATCACTTGTAATGAAAAGTGAATCTATTTCACAAGCCAGAAAGGGGGTTGGTCTGCACACAGTGAGTTTGTCGGCTGCGTTTGCAAAGTGCACTTTGACTAAGAAAAAGATCATGCTTTGTACCTGGTGAGATTGGCATGCATCTACAAAGAGCATCTCGAAAAAGGTAAAACCCTCGATAGTAAGGTGTACAGTGAGATGCTAGTATGTGCTGATACTGCTATTAAGGAAAAACATTGAACTGAGTTCTGGCATAAAAAGGTAATGCTCCATCAAGATAATGCAAGATTACATGTGTCTGCATTCACTGGATGGACTCGAATTGTATCTTTTGCCACACATAACAAATATAGCCCTGATACCACTCCTTTGGACTTCTACCTTTTTTCACACCTGCAGGTTCTATCTTCCATTCTGCACAGGACGTCCGAAATGAGGTTGATCTTTTTTTGGACTCATGTTCACCAAGTTTCTCGGCCGAAGGCTTTTAAAAACTATCATAGTGTTGGCAGGAAATTATAGATTTGGGTAGTGATTACCACCCACACTAAAGGTACTGCTTTCATGTTTTTTCTATCTTTATTAAAAACGTTTTTTGGCAGAAAACTTTAGTTACAACCAGACATATATATATATAAATATAGTACAGAATGTTGAAAAATAATGAGTAAAAGAGTACATAAAATAAAAACAGTATTAAATAACTGAATATGGGTTCTGTCTGATTATCTACTCCTCCACTGAAAAATTTCAAATTTGCTGATGATTTGGGGACAATTTGGCAACTTATTGGTGATTTTGGAGAGAAACATTTGTTTGAATATGGTGATATCTATTTAACAATGCCTCCACTGCCACTATTTTTTTTACATTATTTTTTTTCCAGAGCAAACATGAAGGTAATTATGCCAATTGATATTTATGTTTGGGGATAAACCCAGTTTTCCACTGAATTTCACTGACATACATTCTTTACTCGAACAATAGATAAGGGGAACAGCTGTTGTAAATGAGATATGGCTATCATCAAACCAGGTCCCGATCCCCATTCTAACATTTTGCCTGCAACTGCTCACACTGCATTTCCATAAAATTTAATCATTTAAGAAGTACTTCATAAAACGCAAATATCTGCAGTCTCTATCATCTCATTATATTCTCTATGCATCTTTCAAATGCTCCGGAGGTAGAAACCCAAGAAAACACAATGGCACGCTACTGGACTGGGCACGGTACTGGATTGCACCATGTCAAACGGTTGACCTTCCAAAGATGGGCATTGGCTAAAGAAGAGGCAGCATCCTCTATCGTTGGGTTAAATGCCATATATATGAAGAAATGTAGTTTTTTCTTATTCATCGGATGGCATCATTACCATTCCAATTCATTATGACAAAATAACTGTACTCAGCAAAAAGAAATATTAATCAGAAAAATTACCATTTAATTTCAAAAGTGCAAGCCCATATACACTCAAACACATGTACTATGTACATACCCTGGTTTGCACATAAATAATTTTTGCTACAGTAGTTTGCCACATAAATATTTTTAGGTGACATAGTACTCATCACTATATTTTCATAACACTTTGAAGGGGTGGGTAATTAGGAGTGCTTCAATATGTAAGAAACACACACAATATACATATATAATTTTAAAATGTAATAGGTTTCTTTATACAATTTTACCATCTTCCTGGGATGATTTAATCTACTAAATTATTAATTTAAGTTTTTGATATATATATATACACACACACACAGGGTGATTATAATTAAAGTTTCAAAACACTGTAAAAAAAAAAAAAAAAAAAAAAAAAAAAAAAAAAAAACACTGATCAGAATGATGTCAAGTCTGAAGGCAATATTATCAAAGAAAGAGAAAATGTATGACAGGGAAAAAAAGATATAGTTTAAAATTTTAGCAATAGATGGTGCTGTAAGCATCATAACTTAAAAGTGTTTAACTGCATATGACAAATGAATTGTAAAACAATGGCTAACGAGTAAGTTACACGTTAAACCAACTGTACTGTTCAGTGTGCATTACTGTACAGGTGTGATACTATTAGTTATATAAGCCCATCCACCATGGCAAGGTCGTATCACACGGGATGGGAAAAATCGTTTTTTAAAAGTCTTGAGGAAAAAAAAAAAAAAAACGTGTAAAAAGCATCAATCAAATAGGTTGTTAATTTTCGTGAGACTTGCACAAAACATATTATATATCCTGTCCACCCTTTTCCACAACAAGTTGAAATCGAGAAACAGCAAGTTCCACAACTGATCTCCCGAATCACGTTCAGAATGTGTTGCACAGTGTGTTTCAATTTAGATCAGTTTACAATCAGAGCAATGAACACAACATCCCACGGATTAAGATAGGTCATCGGGACAACCAAGCTGTAGGGAAATTACGGCTGATAATTCTAGCATTTCTGAAATGCTGCTTCACTGGATTTGTAATGTACGGAGAAGCAACATCTTGTAAAAAAATTATCCCATCAACACATCCTCGCTGTTGAAGAGCTGGTTGTTGGTGTGGTTGTGCCAAAGATCCTCATAGCACTTACCAGAGATGGTACAGTGAACAGGACCGAAAGCACCTGTCTCCTAAAAAAAAAATAGTTCCCCCTTTTTCGATAATATTCTGTTCAAATTTGATGTCATTCTGATCAGTTCTTTCTTTTACAGCATTTTGAAACTTTAATTATAATCACTCTATATACGTATAAAACAAAAATTAAAATGACTGAAGCTAAACTTATGAATTCTATTCCAAAAAAATTTTTTTTCCTACATACAAGTTTCATTTATGTTCAAATTTTTCAGCTTAATTAAAAGGCAGTAAATACAAAATACATACTTTACATCACAGACACTAATTTTTTATCATACTATCATGCAGGCATATATGCTTCATATTATAATTATTTATTCATTTATTAATATTAATTTATTGTTTGTGGTTACAGCAATACATTTGTTTTTAGTCAGTACTTTACTCATACTTTACCAATAATTTGTGATCAGACTGATATTAACGATCACATTAGTTTGCATTATGAAAAGAAGGCATATATTCTTTCCACACTGTAAACCAATCAGTTTATTTAGAAGTATATAATGTTAAAAATTTAACTGCCAAATCCGTATAACCAGGCAGTTAAAAAAATGAAAGCATTTGACTATAAAGCAACACTTTATGATTTTCCAAAACTTCAAAATGCTGTCATATATTGTCAGAAAGTTTGTGCTTAGTTACTGAAAACTTCATGTTTAATCTATCAGTAGGAATTTAGCAGTTAATTTTAACTGAATCATTCAGTTTAAATGCACAGAATCAGCTATTTTCCTCCATACCAGTGTGAGGTTTAATGCTTGAATATTTGCTGTATTAGAATATTATATGTTAATACAAACACAAAAAATGAAGGAAAAAAAACTATGAAGGAAAAGTATTGTCACCAAAATGTATTCCTCCAGCTTTAGTAGTGGAACAACTGGTTTCACATCTGAAGCTGGCAGTCGAAGAACACTAATATGACAGTTTCCCGAATTTAATATTCCCATGCTTTAATTTACAGATCTTGCATTAATGTCACAGTTACCTCATTTAGTAATATCTGCCAAGGTAACACGAATTTAGCATGTAAAATATTTGCGTAATATAAAACTTAAAATAAACTTGTATAGAATCTATTAACATGCAAACATTTGACAGATTTGAAACTCAAAAAATATACCTGTAAAGAATCTCAGAGCAGATTTAAATAATATTTTAATAAGTTAATATGATTAGAAATCTTCAAATAAAATTTCCTTGAAATATCAACTTTTCTAATAAAACATGACATTTAAATTACTAAATACATTTTTGTAAATATGATGTTGAATCAGAACAAATAAAACAAAATAGTAATCTACTAACAGTTATGGTTTATTTACAAACACACATGTACACACACATATATATATAAGATAAAATTTTAAATTAAATTTGTAACAGTTCCTTAAGTCTCTTTTTGAATTCGGTTACTTCACTTTTCTATTCTAAAAACATTGAATGCTTTACAACTCCTTAAAAGAAAAGTAAAATGAAAGAAAAAATCTCGTCTGTATTGCTATGCCTTGTAATGAAACTAAATGCAATAAATAATTCTTCAGATGTCAATTTAAAATTATTATATTTTAGCATTTGTTATCAGATTTAAAAAAACAAAAACAAAAACATAGAATGTCTGCACACAGAGATACGAAAATTTATATATGTCCCATTTTTATAAATTTTCTATTTATACTCACTTCCACTACACAGGAATATTTCCTTCGGAGATGATTCAGAATGTAAATTTGGCATGTGGGGGTTTTAGTATTTTATTTTGTATTTGATTTACTACCTAATTACTTTTCAGATTTGCACATAACAGTTTTCCTGTTAAATAAATATATTCATTCATTATCCTTTTTCTTGGTAATAATTATTCCCTGCCTTTTTTCCCCCTGACAGTCATAGGTGCAATTTTATTAAGTGCTTGCTACAATGAATATTTTTAATTGAATTTTAAATTATATAAATTATTTTGTAAAAATCAGTTCAGAAGGATAAAAAATACCAACCAGCTGGATATCCAACAAAAATTACAACCTGTGTGAAGAAAAAACAAAATTAATAACAGATTTCAATTTTTACATAAAGATTAAGTGAAACCCTTAATATTATATAATAGGTACAATAAAATTGCACCAGTTGGAACTTAAAAATTAAGCAAAATTAAATATTAGAACAGTGCTGATTTTAATGGGAGGCTTATTTTTTGGTGAGCATGTCAGATATGGGTTTGCTTCTCCAAAGAGCAGAAATAATCAGTTGTTGTTACATAGATTATTTCTCCTCCTTAAAGAAGAAAAACCTGAGACAGATTTGATTTCAAAATGTCCACAACTTTTCTCTAAAATTACTGTCAATCTAAAGATGAATTTCACAGATTTTTGATGAAATAAAAATGCATTTACTAGACATTTAAGCAAATCTCAACCACATAATAAAACTAATTTTAGAAGGGGAAAAATGTTATGCATTTTGTGAGTTTATCAAATATACATTCAGCATATTCAAAGAGCAAAAATATTAAGTTTTTGCGGCATAGAATACTTTTCCCCTTACAGTAGAAAAATCTGAGTTAGATTTGCTTACAAAATACACACAACTTTAGTCTAAAATCACAATCTGTCAGAAGAATTTTAGAAATTCTTTAAATCTTTAACATTAATAATTACTTTTAATATGATAATGCACATAAATAGCAATTAAGTTTTCCCAATTTTTTTATTTCCACAACATAAAAAAAATTTTGAACTATTCACTAATTAATATCTTGAGATGCAAGATTTAAATTTTGTTTTTATATTGCAATAGATGGCATGAGTCATTCTTGAAAGGGAGCACCTGCTCTAGGTCCCATGATTCACCAAAAGATAAACATTGTTTTCCTTTTTGCAGATAGATCATATGACCAAACAAACTTTAATTAGGACTTGAACTATGCATGCAAGCAATGTAGCTTACAAAATCTTTCACGTTTATTCTTGTGTGTGAGTTACTTCACTAATAAATTGGTGTTCGTCAAACTTTTTTGCCTTAATTTTTAGCCCCAAGATATTTTAATTGTACTGAGAAGAAAAATATCTGTTATATATATTATTTTATAATAACTGCATAACATATAAAAAAATTCTTTTTCTAAAGGCAAATTAATAAATAAGTTATTTTTCTCTATATTCTACACCAGTGGTTTGCAGGCCCCTGGAGGCTGCAAACCTATCTTTAGGCAACTACCGACCATAATCACAATTTTACCACGATAAAAATTTTTTTCTCTATTCCTAATGTAAAAAAAAATTATAATCACGCTGCAGCAGTGTTGCATTTGTGATGCCCTTCATCACTGTCTCATTTCTGCACTTTTATCTACGTGACAGATTAAGATGAGAATTCCTGCTTTACACAAGCCCTGTTTGCTTCTGGTGTTGCTGCATGTCTGAACAAATGATGAATCATCCATCTGGCCACAGGTCAGTGGTCATCAGTTGAATCAAAATAAGTTGATGAAAATTTGCAACAGCAGCTACTAAAATGCACTGTTTCTGACAAATTTTAAAATAATACTTTAATTATTTTGTGGTGTGCTTGTTGACATCAATAACATGCTAGGGTCATTGAAGAGATAGAAAACCTACCACTTTAAAAAAAATGAATGGAAGGAAGAGCTGTCATTATAAACATTGGCAAATGATCAGTTTGTTTACTGCTCAATGCTTCAGTTGCAGTATCAAAGAGATCGAATATTGAACATCATCAGAAAATCATTTATAAGGATTTCAACTGTAAATACCCATTCAAGACTTGCTTTATGTAGTTGATTCATTGACATCTTCTCTAAGACCTCAACAAAGCAGTCTTTTTACCCTAAAAAATGAAGCAAAGAAACACACAGAAACATCCTTCAAAGTTACATTCTTGCATCACATTAAAGAATGCTTATTCAGATGGTGTCATGGTGAAGGAAATTATATTGGCAATGTCAGATTCTTTATTTCATGAATTTAAAAACAAAAGTGAAACAACATCAGATATAAAAGATGTGCCTCTGTTATGAAACACAGTGATGTGACGAGTGGATGATATGGGGAATGAATCTACATAAAAATGAGATCTTATTTGGAAAAATATACATATTTTCCCTTGCAGTTTGTTGAATCCACTGATGTTACTGACTCACAATAAATTTGATGTTCATGTTAATTGTGTTGCCTGATTTCTCTGTCAAAGAAGCATTACTGTCTATGCTGACTTTGGCAAAACACATTCAAGGGCAATACACGCATTATGGCACAGTTAAAACTATATTAATGAAAACGGAAAAAAAAAAAAAAAAAAAAAAAAAAAAAAAAAACCCTCATTGCAATCCCTACTGATGGTGTGTTAGGTATGAAAGAGATGGATAGTGCATTTATTGGGCTTTGTTAACAGGATGTCATGTTTTCCAAATTCAATTCATATCTCTTTGTTACTAGTCAGGAAAAATCTATCCTCTAAAAAGCTCTACTGAATCACCTAATAACAGTTACTGCTTATTTATCCAAGGATAACTCTTGAGTCCACAACTTTTTTCAAGCTTTGCTTGATGAGCTAGATAGCAGAAATGATGTGCTCTCAATATCTTCTTTTGTAGCTTAAATTGATTTGTGAAAGAACAACTTATTGGAGAAAGACTATCAACATTTCCTATCATTTACCCTCCTTCTAGACCCAGAATTTATTCTGAAATATGATCCATCTAAGCATCCTGAAAATTTTTCTTTTACTTAGAATTTAAAAGAAGATTCCAAGACATGTTTTCTACAGAGCCCATTTTATAGATCATGAAAAATCCTTTCTTGGAATTAGACATACCAGTAGTAACTTTGTCAATGGAAAAAAATTGTTTTATTAACAAAACAAAGACTGAATTAGAGAGATTACTACTCTTCTTACGGATATAACTGTCAAAAGCACTGAAAATGAAAATGGTGAAGTTTTTAAACTAATGGACCTTATTAAACACAAAAACATAGTTCTGTGAACAGGCTTCTTCAAAACTTAAAACAATAAATAGCAAGTACAAAGATATGCTGACTCCACAATATGTGAAAAACAATATGGTGCTCACATGCTGTGCATCAGAATTTATACCAAATTGTAATAAGTTGTCAGTGAATATTATTAATCAAATCTCAATTAATTAATTTGCAATAAAATAGCTTGAACTTGCACTAAATTTGCATTTTGTTAGTGGATTTTCTTCAATTTTTTTTAGATTCATATTAATTTTCCTTATTATTTGGAAACACAAAATCATTCAGTAAAATCACATATTTTCATGAACTCATTATTTTCCAAACATGAAACACCAGATGTCCATGAGGCATGGTAGACATCTGAAAGTAGCCCTTAATTTGCTGGGTACCACAGTTCTACAACTTAACATAAAAAAAGCAAAAGTTTTACCTAAATTATTATTATTATTATTATTGAAAATTAAATACAAGCAATAAATACCTCAGAAGTAGATGATACAATTGTATCAGCTGTTAATTCTTTCCGTGGTGGAGGCTGATACTTTACTGCTAAGGGTGAAGCTGCTAATTTCCTCTGGAATAACAATATATGCATTGAATACTTGCAAAATTAATTTACTCAGCAATTTAAAAAGTTACTAATGCAACACTTGACCAGATTTGAAGGAAAAATGAAGAATTTACTTAAAGAACTCTCAAACTGGGGAAAAAAAAAAAAAAAAAAAAAAAAAAAAAAAAAAATCACTTCATCATTTTCTTATTTCTCAAGATAGCTGAATTTGAGAAGGTAAAAAATGATTAAAGAACCACAGAACCAAAAATATTTGTGATAATAAACAAACATTGAATTAAAAAAAAAAAAAAAAAAGTTTACGAAATTTAGACAGATATTAGATTTAGAGTTTCTTTGATACTATGTTAATGAGCTGCCAGTTGCCTGCTTGTATTGGTCATGAATAGCTACCCAGTGTTTAATGTGCAAAATGTCACAAATGCGCACAATGCCAAATTTGTGCAATTTTCGGATTTTTTTTAAAGCGAAAACTGATCACTGTATACATGTGAAATCTGACATTGTGCAATATTAAACAAATATCATAAAATAAAAAGTTAAAATCCAGACATCCAATATCTGAAATGATCTAAAACCAGACTTCTAGTCACTATCCTCTCCTCCGATATTTTTTTTAAAGCTCAAAAGGGGCTATTAATCTCGAAATAGGATTTTGTATGGTTCATTATAAACAGTCTATTACTTTTCAAATTGTTGCCATCAAATATTATTGCCTTGCATTATTATTTTTGAAGAAATTAAATAATGAAGAAACTGCATGTATATATGTATGTTCCTTGATTGTGAAAAAACAACATTACCCAGAGCCATAAAATTTTGAATACTGTATCCTCAACTGAAATATGTGTACTCCGAAGCCTAAATTTGAATTTTATTTTTTTGCAAAAGTTTATTGAATTTTTGATTTAACATACTCAACTATTTGAAGGCAAGCAGTAAGTTTTTATCTCCAGCGTAAGAGAAATGTAACATGTTTCAATTTTAATTAACAAACTCAGCTCCATGAAAGCAATGTGTTACCATGGCCAGAAATAAAATATTTTTATCTTCTCTGGGCCAGCATGTTGCCATTCAGTTTAAAGCTTAAGATACTATCAAATTTAATCTGGAAGGTTACTGAGTAATAAATTAAGCAATAAATATAGTTCTTAAGACATGTATACACATGAAATCTGACATTGTGCAATATTAAACAAATATCATAAAATAAAAAGTTAAAATCCAGACATCCAATATCTGAAATGATCTAAAACCAGACTTCTAGTCACTATCCTCTCCTCCGATATTTTTTTTAAAGCTCAAAAGGGGCTATTAATCTCGAAATAGGATTTTGTATGGTTCATTATAAACAGTCTATTACTTTTCAAATTGTTGCCACCAAATATTATTGCCTTGCATTATTATTTTTGAAGAAATTAAATAATGAAGAAACTGCATGTATATATGTATGTTCCTTGATTGTGAAAAAACAACATTACCCAGAGCCATAAAATTTTGAATACTGTATCCTCAACTGAAATATGTGTACTCCGAAGCCTAAATTTGAATTTTATTTTTTGCAAAAGTTTACTGAATTTTTGATTTAACATACTCAACTATTTGAAGGCAAGCAGTAAGTTTTTATCTCCAGCGTAAGAGAAATGTAACATGTTTCAATTTTAATTAACAAACTCAGCTCCATGAAAGCAATGTGTTACCATGGCCAGAAATAAAATATTTTTATCTTCTCTGGGCCAGCATGTTGCCATTCAGTTTAAAGCTTAAGATACTATCAAATTTAATCTGGAAGGTTACTGAGTAATAAATTAAGCAATAAATATAGTTCTTAAGACTATTTTTTCTACCTTTTAATGTGATTGATTTAAATACACATTTATTAAAATCATGAGATGTCTAATTAGAAATACTCAATATTTTTATAAAATTACACTAGATGGACTCATTAAAATCATTATACACTTTTGCTTTTTAATGATAACTATTTTAGGTGGTTGGTCACACCAGCAGCAAGTTTTTAAAGAAATAATATAGTGGATATAAAAAATATGTATGGCAACCTCTAACACACTACCATATGCAGTTTTTAGATATTTTGTGACTTTGCTGTTGAATTGATTGGTACATGGCATTAAATAAACTAAGTTAAGACACTGATATGACAAAGTGAAGACAAAAAACAAAAATAAAAATGCATGCCAACCCTTAACACTGCATCAGGAATTCTAAACATATGCTACTATGCAGTTAAAAATTTTGTCATTTTTCTGTTGAACTACATGCGCCATAACAGTGAATAAAACAATGCTTAATAATAGGGCTAAAGAGAGGGGAAAAAAAAGGTTTGTGAGTGGAGCAGACAGGTAGAATGCGAGCTCAGCGAAAGCATAAAAAATCTTAACAAACCCTTTTGGACAATCATCAAAATCTGAAATTTTTCATTTTTTATTTTTATTTTATTTATTTATGTTTTACCACTGTGCATTGGATATTTTTCCACCGCTTTAATCCCCACATAATTATCAAAGTAGAAATTTAACAGAAATTTTTCCCCATAGGAAAAAAAAAAAAAAGTTTTTATAAATGATATACATAGGCCAAAAAATTATATTTAGTGTTCTTTGAATTGAGAATAACTGATTTGTTATTCAGATAGGGCGATGACCTGTGGCATAGCTGGAGTGTTTGCACCGGGTGGCAGAATTTAGAGGAGGCAAAATTTTTAGAATTTTGAGAGGTGCTGAGCAACAAAACTAAGGGATAACTAAATCTTTTGAATTTAGGGAAGGCACTGGGATGCAAAATTTATTGAATTTAGGGATGTGCTATTTGAATAAGGAAATTATGATAGAACAATCTTTTCGGAACCATTATTTAGTTCCTGCAGTCTGTTTAATAACTAATTTATATTAAAATAACAGAATTTATGTAAGAGTAATAAAGTTAGTTTGAATGAGAAGCTATATTTTAGATATCAAAATCTGCTGAAAAATACGTCTAAGCATTGCAAATAAAATATAGTTTTAAAAATAACATTATAATGTATATTTATATACTTACAGGATCAAATACTGGCATGTTGTATGGAGCAGGCTGTTGACCCAGAAAAAACTCCTCAGGAGTATAAAATTTTATTCCAATATTTAATGCAAACTACAAATAAAGAATGTTACTGAGAAGGAGAAACACACTTACAATTAAAATATTAGGACCTTTTCTGTTATTCAACAATACACGTTAAACAATTTTCTCTATGAAAATATATGCACCAAGATAGTATTTTCAGTGAGTAAATACATTGTCATCATACTGTTATTTTCGATATGGTAAAATGTTTTTAAACATAAGAAATAAAACTCTTAGGTTAGTTATTTCAATAAACAAAGAACGACACTTTAAAAATTTTCATTTGTATTGAATATAGTGAATATTTTAATGACAATACTTACTTTTAAAATAAGAACACTATTATAAGAGAAAAGAACAATATATATAATTTAACAGTGTCCAGGTCAATAGTTAATGTTGGTGTACATATTTTTCAAGAGAAAATTGTCCCACAAGTATTGTTCTACAATAGAAAAGATCCAAATGTTATTCTACTACAATAAAGAATTATTAGACTTCTCTACTGCAAATCTACAATAATATTTAAAACATTTAAATCAGATATAATTTCAATAATTGCCATACAAATATAAATTTAAAAAGCAAAAAGTTAAAAAAAATTATAAACTTTAAAAAATGATAACTACTTTATGATAACTTTTTTAGGGAAAATTATTGCTTATAAACAAAATATTTTTTGAGTAGCTTGAACAACACTAATATCTTTAATATGAAAATTTGAAAATGTTTTACAGACAAACTATTCAAATAGATAATCAACTCAGAGAAAAGTAAATGCCATTTAAAATATAACACACAGTAATTTTAATATCAGTTAAGAAAAAGACGATTTACTTCAGCCAGATAAGAAATTCAAGCTTTCACTCACAAGTCTATCAGCACAAGAAAAATCTTTTTTCTTTTTTGGTGCCCAATTCTGGGGTCTTCCTGCAGCATCTGTTAAAAGTTATCGTAATAATTTCATTATTTTAGTGCTTAAAATGAGAAAATTTATTCCTTAAAAAAGAATGCATTAAAAGTAACTCAAGCAATTTAAAAATTAATAAAAATGAAAATATGAAATACAATTTTTGATAACAATAAAAACTTCAGAATTATAGGAGTTAAGGCTTTAAAACATTAACTAGGTATTAATATTAAATATAAAATGTAAAATATTAAACACTAATAGAAATAAATTATTATTATATTAACTAATTAAAGTTAATGATGGCCTGCGTTTATACAATAGAAGTAGTGTTAAGCATCAGTTCCTTTGATGCTTTTCTTTTTACGATTGCTCAAGATATAGAAAATATTAACTATTAAAAAGTTCAATTTATCTCAATTTTTCTTTACAGACTTTCAGCAATCACTATTGGTATCAGGTTCATACCTCAAAAGGTTCTTTAGCAGTGACCTCAAAAGGATTCTATCATTTCAAATGGGGAAAAAGAGATGTCATTTAACTTCAAAAAGATGATAAAAAAAATCACTACCCAAAACTAAAAACAAGCTAAAAGAAGAAAAAATTACTTGAGAGTTTGGTTCAATGTACTGTTGCCAGCTAATGTTACAATCTTCAAATCTGTTGCCATATTACTTGCATGGAAGATGATAAATCGCCTGGGTTTATTACATCTTCCAAACATGGATTAATTTACACAAATGTCTATTCCCTAAGCAAAGCTGCCAGACACACCAATTTTGGCTTTAAAAGCATCAAATAAAATCTTTTTACAAATATTGATGTGCTTTTGCACATAGCAGCTACACTGTCAATAACATCTTGTAAATGTGAACGTTCCGCAAGAGCTTTGAAAAGCAATAAAGAATTATAATAAGAAAAGGTTAGGCAATTATAATAGAGCTACTATAATGGAAGAGTCCTGAAATTCTTTGGCATTAATGCACGTAATAATTATAATACGATAATGAAATGCAATATATCCATAATTATGTTACATAATTTTATCATTAATAAAATTTATAATATAATTATTACTTATATTAAGATAACTGCCATTAACATAATATATTTGTCCCGTAATAATCATATATATATCTGCTGTAATAGGTAAAACAATATATCCATAGGAGTCGTAACGGGCACCCCCCCTCATAATTTGAGCTGGCTACGCCCATGACCATACATGTATTTTGCCATCAGCATGTACCATAGTGAATCTCAACTAATCACTCCAGGCAACATTTTCCATATCTTAACAGTTCATTGAGATGTTCCAGCTCCACAGTCAGCAGACGGACTATCATAGGGCGATTACTCCTGTACCCCAATTAGGGAAGATGATGTTGTACAGTGTGGCAGCTTATAAGTTGCTATGCACCAGCTTACATGTTGCATTAAATTGACGGGTGATCTGTTGAACTGTGGGCCGTCTATTCACTGTTACAATGCGGGCTAGCTGCAACGACCGCGGTCATCCACACTGTGTTGTCCATGGCAGTTGACTCTGGCAGGGATGGTTTTACCAGAATCAACATAATCACAGTGTACCCTTGACACAGTGATGCATGAAAATATTAGTGTCTGCACTAATTCTGAAATAGAGAGACCCATTCATCGAGCCTTGACGATTCAGCCATGATCAAATGCATGCAAATCTGTATTCTTACCTGTTTTGCTTTTAACTATTACTGATACTGTGAGTAAATGCCTTATTTTATCAAATAGCTGCTTATGTCATTTGCAAGTCACACCCAGGCTTGCACACAGCTCGAAATTTCCATAAAACCAGCTTTCCCTAATTTAATTATATGTGTAATCAGTGTATAGTTATTTATTTGTTTTCAGGCACTACAGTAACCAATATAGAGGAGATACGCGTAGATCAAAATTGCATGGCTAGATGCGGTTGTTATAATTAAAAGTAGTTATATGCAGTTTATATATATATATACTATATTTATAATTAATTACCTGAATAGTTTATTTAGTATTTAAACAATATAATGTTGTGTAGCAAAGTAACGGAATTAATCTAATTTCAGCTATCAAAATTTAATGTATTAATTATTCTAAATTTTATGCTACACAACATGTATTTGTTCAATTAATTATTGGTATTGTTTGGTCAATTATTTATCTGAACTTGCACAAAAATTTTTAGCTAGTGTCATTCATTCTTGCTTGTATTCGCGATTACTCACACAATGGATCTTGGTAAATTTTCACGTAATAAACTAGGATTTTCATGACTTAAATTAAGTTAAATCCTTAAAATTTAATATCAATAGATGCAGAAAAGTTAGCACTTTAATTTGAGACTACTTTTATAATTCTACCTTCAACAGAATTGAAGTTATAGCCATTTAATTAATGTAAAACTTGCAAAACCCATTGTTTGGCTTAAGAGGGGGAGGAATTCACTTTTAAGAAAAAAAATCTGATGTGTACACCACATGACTTCCTTGTACAGAATATTAAATTATACACATTTTTTCTTGCATTTTATTTAAACTTATTAGATTGATTTAAACCTACTTCTCCGAGAGCACATAAACCACAATAGAATAAATGCATTCTTTAAAATTCACTTTGTTTACCATAGCGACACTCTGGCGCTAGGTTTACTTAACAGTATCATATTTCGTTCATGTTAAAACTCTGAATGCACAAAATTTATATCATTTAAAGAATTATCTAATCATTGCCACATGTGCTATTCAAATACTATAATAAAGCTAGAACTATGTATAAAAGAAATTCAGCAAACAAAACAAAAAAGAAACAGTTTTTTACAGACGATTGAGTATTTCTCATTTAATTAATTCAGTTCTCACTTTGCGAGAAGGCAAAAATACATAAAAACTCAAAATATCTGTATTAAAAATTACGAAGTAAATCTTAAACGCTTATTTACTCAAAAAAATTCAAGAAAGGATTATGCATGATTTAATTGGCAATAATAAATGAATGTGTTATCTTTGTTTTTGCGAAGCTAAGTTTCTCTAGATTGGCAACAAATCCACTAGTCTCCTGTTTCAACTGTAAACATCAATGGCCGCCATCAAATGTGGCACTTAAACAATTTTAAAATTGCTGACAATTCTAAAAATATTGCATACAGATTTACTAAAGGCATAAGACCCTTAACCAGAAGATAAAAACAACATAATTCAATCATTTTTAAAGCAAAAAATGTACAATTTACAAACATATAAGAGTAAAAGAAATTGAGATCAATGAGCCGGGTAACAAAGTGGATATATTTATAAATATATTTATATACGTTTGGCGCGGCTGATTGGAACCAAAATACCAGGTGCACATCTACATGTTATAGTAGTCTTATATACAAAATTTCAACATTCTGAGGCTACTTGTTTTTGAGTTATGCGAGATACGTACGTTCGTACAGATGCCACGAAAAATTCTCTTAAGAATTCATTTTAAAGCAGTTTTTTAGTTTTTTTGGAGGAAAAGAGTCTTTTATTCTGTCCTTACATACAGATATCACGCAGAAACATCGTTAAATTGCATTCGAAAGCGATCAAAGTGGATATTTTCGTGAAATATGCTGCCTGAAGCTTTTCGTGATTACAATACTTCCTTTTTACTTCGTACAAGGAAGTAAAAATATGCATTCTTTTGCACTTGAAACAAGTCTTCTTGAGGGAGTGGGTATGGTTGCCATATTTTTAGAAGTGCAGGTGTTTAGGCGTGGCCTTTGCTTGGCATGTGTTTGGCGAGAATCGAATTCTGTCTTTAGTTCAACGCTTCAGAAGAAGTAGAAATTTTTGCATGGTTTAAGGCGGGAGTTTTCGGCAACTGATTTTTTCACCTTTTCGAGTGGGGGTTTAGCCAAGGTGGCTGTCCTGTCATATCTAAAAGGGGTTGTTTTTAAGGGAATTTGTTCTTCTTGCCTCTTGCTCCTTTGTGTGACTTCCACTTTTGGAAGAGCTTTTTTTGCTTGGCCTCTGCTCCCTGAGGCTCACCTAATGATTGTCAAAGTAGCGGATTCTCATTGCCTTTGGCCCGAGATTTTTTTTCTGCGTCTGTTCGCAGGTGAAGCCTTGTGATGAGATTAAGAGATTTTTTTTTAATTGCTTAAACCTTGATACTAGCTTAATTTCCATCCAACTAATTTTTCAATATGTCATCAAAGTGCTTCCAAACATTGGTCTAACCACCTTCAAGAAAATGGCTAATATACCGTTCCCAGCATAATGTGAAGATCCTCATGTAGTGCCATAAATTTCATGCTCCTCGGAGTTCAAAGAACTTTTCATCTTAAACGTTGCTTCTGGAAGGAACTTTCATCTTAAACGTTGGTTAAGACTCACTTCAGCTTCGATTTTCACTAATATATCCTCAGGGATCATCTGAGAGTCATCCTAATGGAAGTATTGTTCTACTCAACTGATCTTGCTTTTACTTCTACACTTTTGAGGGATGTGCTTCCTCCAGTCACCATCGCCTTCCAGAACTGTTCTCGCCTGCATCCTGTTTCTTGTTAAATGTTAATGCCTCTTGCTGTTGTCCAATTCTTCCGATTAAGTTCCAGCTAAGTAATATGGAGAAGAGTATACTTCGGTCTACAATCTGTTACCAGAACTGTTTACCCCGGCATCCTTAGAATCGTCAGTTGGAGTCCGGATACTTTTCAGATAAGTTAAAGCTCAGTTAACATCCAATATTTAATTCCTGTCTTCATTTAACTGTTAAATCCAGTGTTCTTTACTTATGCTGATTAATCATTAATTTAATCTTTTTTATGTTAGTTCAACCTCTGCTTTCTGGCATTTTGGTCACTGTTGGGTTAGGCTGAGTTAAATGCGTTTTACTAAGTAATTTGTTGAGAAGATAATAGTTAAGGAAAAAAATTGAATAATTTAAAGCTGTGCAATACAAAGTTAATTACCTTACATCCAATCCGGTTGTGTGCAATTAATTGTTCCGTTAATTTTCATTAGAATGATTTCTGCTTAAGGTA